CGTATTAACTTATATACCACGTCGACCAAAATACTCCTTTGTCGTGTTAAATTGTAAATAACCACGGCGGTTTATTTTAAACAAGAGACATATTAACTATAAATACCACGTCAGCAAAAGTAAACTTTTGTCGTGTAAAATTGTAAATAACCACGTCGGTTTCAGAATACTAAAAGTCGTTTGACTTTATTATCAACCACGTCGGTTTCTACTGGTTTTGCGTCGTTTTAACCACATACTAGGGCTGTTTTTATAAAACCATCGTGTTATGATTTGTGATTGTATATAAATTTTTTCGTCACCTGGCTTAAATTTTTACGTTCTCTCTAACCGATAAAATATTTCAACCTCTTCTCAGGTTTCCTTCCCAAAGCTTCGTGTCTGAATCTCATCATTTTCCTCTCCTCCTCGCCCTCGTCTCCAAATCTCCAAAGGTTACGTTGGAAGCAAACTTTCTTTGTACGCCAAAGGTTTTTTCTCACTATTTTTTTTTTGGTCAAAATCATTTTAAGTTTTTTTTTTTTTTTTCAAAGTCATTTCTAATTTTGATACCACGAAAGAAAGTGTCTGGAAACAAGACTCCGTTTTCAAAATAACGACGTCTTTCATTGTTTTAAATAATATCAATAGTCTCTCACTCTCACGACGTGTTAAGACAACGGTTTTGTCTTGTTTACGTCGTTTTAATTAACACACCATAACGGTAATTAACTTCATCATGGTAATTAATCACCGTCATGTTGTGTAAATTAAAACGATGTAAACAAATAGCACAAAGTTGATTGCCATCATGTTGTGTTAATTAAAACGACGTAAATAAGACAAAACCGTCGTAATAAATTGTGGGAGAGAGAGATCTGACATTTAAAAAAAAAATGTATTTACTCTTAATAAGACAATTGTGTTTTCTTGTTTACGTCGTTTTATTTCTCACACCACGATGGTGGTTAACAATCGTCATGCTAAAGGAAATAGCACGACGGTACACTACTACAAAAAAGGAAAAACACGACGGGAATTCACCGTCGTGTATTCTGTTTTCAAATGGTCGTGGAATCCACCGACATCTTTTCCATAACAAAACCACGACGGTGAATAACCATCGTTGTTAAAACAAAAAACGTCATCAAAAAATCAAAACCGACGTCTTTGTGTTGCAAAAAGACATAAAAAAACAGTCGAGGATGAGAATAGACGACCAACTCCAACAAAAAAACGTCGTTAAAAAGGAAACATATGACATATATTAACAGAACATGGCCGCAAGATAAACATACAACGACGAGAACTAAAACTTAACCCCGTTAAATAAATATTTAACGACAAATATAAATATGACGTCTTTACAATCATAATAGATGACGTTATTGACACCTACTACGTCACAACATTTCCAACAACCGTCGTAAAATAAATTTTCCACTTCGATTTTTTTATGAATTATGACGTGGAAATAGATGTCAGGGTCATTACTTACGACACATGTATTTACAGAGACGACGTTGAAATGAATAAACAACGTCGGTTCCAAATAAATGAGAGCCGTATTACAAAATTTATACGTCATATTTTAAAAATAAACGACTTGGAAAAAATGATGGGGTCATTAATTATGACACAGTAATTTATAAGGACGACGTTGTCGTCTATATACAACGTCGTTACCATGAAAAAGATCGTCGTCTTTAATAATTTATACGTCTTCATT